GTCCAAATTTTGGTACCAAGCAAGAGCCGCTCATCATAAATTGGGGTTTTTCCATACCCAAACAGAATCGTTGAAGCCATCTTTAACGAATGATCGGAGGAAGGGTGAAACTACATTTTTTCTAATCACTTGACAACTCTTAAGATCGGCCCTCAGTAAGCCTGTGTGACAAACCCAGCTGGCTAAAACTGGAATTTGGATTTTACAAGAAGAACACCACCTCTCGATTCACCAACCTTATGGTACTGAAAAGGGGTGATGACATCTACTAGATGTTACTAAGTGACAAAAACGAATAAAATTTGCTGAGTGGTAAGACCGTCATTCATGCTGGATAAATCGCCTCTGTTGCCTGCCTCAAAACGTCAGTGTGATTCATTATGAAGGTCGCGCGTCGTTTGCTAAAGTGCTGCGCACAAGCGGTTGCTTGTGCACTTTGACTAATGCGAGGAGTATTTCACTGTGGCACAAAGCAAAGTAGCGATGTTGAGTTGGCAGGCACTTGACAAACACTCGTAAGGTGAGAATCTGTGACGAGCTGCCTTGCAGCTCCTAAGGCGTCCGTAATCACAGTACACCTTTACATAAAACGAAACCGGAAGATGTTCTTTTCTTCGGAATGAGGATCATTGTCTACAAGGTCTTGAGAGAACCCAAATCTGTCTTCTTGACATTGTCCAACTTGGCAGTCATCAACTAGTCCCCTTTCATTTCATAAAAGCCCTTCCACGATCGGAAATGCGCTATTGATTGGTCTTCATGGTTTGAAGACAAGTAATGTTGATGATGTGGTAATGCGTCCCGTGAACAGATGGACTTATATCGATGCGATGGCGACTGCAAAACGAATTGTTTGGCATCAAATCGGTGTCGAATAGGAGTGGGCGCATTTCACAAGCGGAGTATACTGGGACGGCTATTTCTTGTTAAACAGAAAGTGGCCTAAGTCCATTCGAAGAGACCGAGGGATTTCAACAAAATAGGTGTGAACTCAACTACCATTAGGAACGGGGTCGTGAAGCGGAGGTCCAGAGAACAGGAGGAAGGCTGGAAAGGACGTGATTTTATTCGCTATGCTTGCAGCGTACTAACGTACACTAGCACCGAGGCGGATAAGCAGGCAATAAAAACACTTTGCTAGCAGACAGGGAAACAAGGAAGAGTAACACAGGGAACACTAAATCTACCGACCCCCTCTCTTCAGCTCTCCCGTTGGTACACAGGACGGAACTAGATGTCTAGTCAGATGAAAGTGTTCTTGAAGAACTTGTATTAATATGGTTTCCTACAGCTTTATTCATTCCCTGCTTTCGTTTTTAGAAATGTTTAATAGAATCCTATAAAGTAAATAAAAAACTGACTGACTAAAAGAGTGTTCCTTTTCTTTAAAAGGTTAAGTGACGGGTATTAAGATATTTCACTGCGTATGGCCAACGCATGAGCAAAGTTGTAGATCGTCAGGGATGAAAATTTACATCTTTGACGCACATTTGAAATCTACGCTTCTCGTTTGCTAATTTGAGGTTTTGGTGAAAAAGAGCTTTTTAGATCTAGTAAGGCTATTTCAACCCAGTATAAATGATATTGTTTCACTGTTTTTGTAGGTTTTCGATCACAACAACGACGCGTACATTGACCACGAGGAGATCAAGCGGACAATGCACTTCCTTGGTGAAACCGTTTCCGACGACGATGTTCGCGCTATGATCAAAGAGGCTGACGCTGATCATGATGGACTTGTCGATTTCGAAGGTCAGTCTTCAAACGTGAAAGCTTAAAGTGGAATTAACGGTTTTTATTTGCTACCGGTCCAACGCAGCTTCAGTCAGTTGCTGTCTTCAAATGCTTCTCTTTGAAAGAAATAATGTTTTGGCTCATACTATCCGATTAGGGCAAATTATTATCTTCTAATTACTCCATTAGATTGATCAAATCTTGATTTAACATTGATTCGGAATTTTACCTTAGTAAATCGGCTCTTGTGAAATCTGTCTTGAGTGTATTTTTGGTGGTGTTTTTCTGTTGCAATCTTTACAGTTCATAAATATCAGGAACATTGTTTAGGCGGAAGTAAACTGTAGTTTGATGGGAGTTGGAGGGCAATGATATAAGTGGTTTTACGATCTTGGGCATGTAACTTATTTTTATCAGCCTAAAGTTGCAGCGATTACCATAGACACTAGGTGGTGAGAAGGGGATGCACTATTGTGATAAATTGCATTGTGTCTCAATTTGTATAAGCTAACCTTCCTGTTCTAAGTACCATGTACTGAGTGGGGTTATTTCTTAGGGTCATGAGGTGATGGAAGTCACTGGGTCATCTCCGACTTCGACTTCGATGTGTTCTTTTTTCGGAAAGACTTTTGTTCAATTGCTTTGTTCTGCCTCACCTAAAATAAACTAAACTATTGGAGGTTATAAAGGGCTACCCAATTGATCAAATCTTGTACTGAATATGAGTCCTATTTAATTGGCCCACTAACTTTCGTAAATTATTACCCTGGAGCCTTAATTGGACCTATTTTTATCAGCAAATTTGCATCCCTTTTTTAATAAAATTAATCATATTTAGAAAAGGAAAGTTCTCATTAGTACAACCAAAAATTAATACAAGAGAAAACTCAATTAGAATGATCAAATAGTGCATGGAGTAAAGTAAATTCGGCCTTAACACAGTTAAAACTCAGGCCGTCAATTAAGTGGATTATTACGCCCAAAGTGATAACTTTATCCAAAAATACCACATTTTCCCGTGCATTTTTGGTGTAAATAATGTTTTTAATGCGTGGATGAAATCTAGAGATGTTTGGTGATGACTGAAAATAGGATACTTCGCTGCATTGGCACCAGGAGACGGCAACTAACTTGTTACGAACAAATTTTACCACAATGTCAAGGCTGTTTTGCGAGAGAGAGGAAGGTAAGGGGAGGGAAAAATAATGGGAAAAATGAACCATTTCCTTCTTTATCCCATCTCACCTCATCTCATTTCTATGATCATTCAACTACGTGTTGTTCTTAGTTATTTACTTGTGCTAGACGCTCAGGGGATTTCGGGTAAGTCATTTTGGGGCGCAAAATTAGTCTAATGCCTGTATTTTGAGAAGGCGCCAAGTTGTTGCCAATTGGCTTGCAGAAACACTTTCACCAGACTGGAAGAATGGGTAAATACGGGGCTTTTGAGTAAAAACTGAACCTTTGCTTTTCTCAAAAACAGAAAATAATAAATTCCAACGAATGCAAAACTCATTTATTTTTCCTTAGTCACCTGCTGAGTCCAAACGCTTGTTTTCCAACGTTTAATTAATATCTCGAAAGTAGCCTTGATAACAAATAAACAATCCGTCTAAGGACAACCAGGGTTAAATAAGCTCTCAAAATTGTTAATGTTTATGAATGGTTGTGCTCACTGTTGCTACAGGAAGATTGGCCTCTCATAGAGGCTTCACTGCGACTGTGACTGAAAACCGTCACGGCTAAGGCCATCTCTGATAGACTATGTATGTATGTTAATAAGAAACCTCGCTCATCACTGCATGTTATTCTACGTGCGCAATGCAACACTTACCCGCCAGCTTGACTTGCTATTTTGAATGACTCAGGACATGTGGGCCAGCTACCAGGGTTAAATTCGTGTAGCATTGCCAAGGTGGGCTTCTTTTTTGAGTCGTAAAATTAAAAGTCCCAATTAGACTTTGATATCTCTTGCAGAGAGGGAGACTATGTAAAAATTAAAAGGGAACAATTAAAGCTTCAGTGGAGATGTAGCAACCCATTTTCAAAGGACTTCAGAAGTTGGATTAATAACTTTCTTTTTAGTCCATTTACTTGTCTAATTTGCTTGGGTAACTTTATCCTACTAATTCATTTTAAATGGTTCAATGCTTTATGGACTTAACACTTCAGTTCTTAGTGTTTATACTGCTAATTCATCATGTGTAATTTGAGGTGAATGATCGATGTCTCTGTCACTTTCTTCCTCCCACGGTGGCTATTTTTAGTTAAGGTCTCCCTCATGGCACGTGGCTGGTTTATTTATGATCTAGTTTATTAAAACCATCGGTTCACTTAAACTGACGATGTTTGGACCGACCCTCTGTAGTGGGATTATTATAGTTCGTTTTATGGTGAATCTCATATCGAAAATATTTGGGAGGTGCATAACGGAAATATGAATGCCCAAAGATATTTTCCGTAACGGTATCTCCCCCTAAATACCCTATACAATCCCGTCAACCAACAACCACACTTCCTTGAAACTATATTTGAAAGCGTCAGCGTCATTTTTGAGGTCATTTGAGTTTATACTCCAGTCTGGCTTGCAACAAACTGAGTTTATCACTCTTCAAAGTTTGCCTTTTGTGTGTTTGAGGTACATCAGTTCCTATTTGTGCTGCACTATGGACGTAATAGCAACATTTTTCTGCAATCAGAGGCACTAATGAACATCTGTGGGAAAGAGTCAAGTTTGAGAAGGATTAGTAGTTATAAAGTGTGTATTCTTTTACGGAAAACATTACACCCATGCAATTTTTTAATTATCCAGTCTTTAAATTGTAATGTTATAGTCAAGTTAATAATGGCATACTTTACTTCGACCATTTTTAAAAGCTGCTTGCATATATTCAAGGAAAAAATTTTGGCGGTTAGTTTTTTTCGCCTGACTCATTATACATATTGAAACTAACTAAAAAGGGCTTCAGAAAACTGCTAAATGTTTTTGTTTTCGTCTGTTAAATCCATTAAGGTAATTCAAAATTTATAAATTACTGAATTTGCTGTTTCTATCCTAGTTCTCTTCCTAAGGTTTATTGAGCGGTTTCCGAAAATGCTTGCCTAAATGTCTGGTAAAATTTGTGTCCCTTTTTAGACAACACAATAAGCTGAGCTATTTTTAGACGAAAAAGAGGAAACATTCCCATACATAAAATAAAATATGAAAGACTAATATGAGCAAAAGAGGTTGATCATTTATGTTCCCTGTGATATAATTTAAACTCGTTTGCTTGACGCAGACAGGGAAACAAGGAAGAGTAACACAGGGAACACTAAATCTACCGACCCCCTCTCTTCAGCTCTCCCGTTGGTACACAGGACGGAACTAGATGTCTAGTCAGATGAAAGTGTTCTTGAAGAACTTGTATTAATATGGTTTCCTACAGCTTTATTCATTCCCTGCTTTCGTTTTTAGAAATGTTTAATAGAATCCTATAAAGTAAATAAAAAACTGACTGACTAAAAGAGTGTTCCTTTTCTTTAAAAGGTTAAGTGACGGGTATTAAGATATTTCACTGCGTATGGCCAACGCATGAGCAAAGTTGTAGATCGTCAGGGATGAAAATTTACATCTTTGACGCACATTTGAAATCTACGCTTCTCGTTTGCTAATTTGAGGTTTTGGTGAAAAAGAGCTTTTTAGATCTAGTAAGGCTATTTCAACCCAGTATAAATGATATTGTTTCACTGTTTTTGTAGGTTTTCGATCACAACAACGACGCGTACATTGACCACGAGGAGATCAAGCGGACAATGCACTTCCTTGGTGAAACCGTTTCCGACGACGATGTTCGCGCTATGATCAAAGAGGCTGACGCTGATCATGATGGACTTGTCGATTTCGAAGGTCAGTCTTCAAACGTGAAAGCTTAAAGTGGAATTAACGGTTTTTATTTGCTACCGGTCCAACGCAGCTTCAGTCAGTTGCTGTCTTCAAATGCTTCTCTTTGAAAGAAATAATGTTTTGGCTCATACTATCCGATTAGGGCAAATTATTATCTTCTAATTACTCCATTAGATTGATCAAATCTTGATTTAACATTGATTCGGAATTTTACCTTAGTAAATCGGCTCTTGTGAAATCTGTCTTGAGTGTATTTTTGGTGGTGTTTTTCTGTTGCAATCTTTACAGTTCATAAATATCAGGAACATTGTTTAGGCGGAAGTAAACTGTAGTTTGATGGGAGTTGGAGGGCAATGATATAAGTGGTTTTACGATCTTGGGCATGTAACTTATTTTTATCAGCCTAAAGTTGCAGCGATTACCATAGACACTAGGTGGTGAGAAGGGGATGCACTATTGTGATAAATTGCATTGTGTCTCAATTTGTATAAGCTAACCTTCCTGTTCTAAGTACCATGTACTGAGTGGGGTTATTTCTTAGGGTCATGAGGTGATGGAAGTCACTGGGTCATCTCCGACTTCGACTTCGATGTGTTCTTTTTTCGGAAAGACTTTTGTTCAATTGCTTTGTTCTGCCTCACCTAAAATAAACTAAACTATTGGAGGTTATAAAGGGCTACCCAATTGATCAAATCTTGTACTGAATATGAGTCCTATTTAATTGGCCCACTAACTTTCGTAAATTATTACCCTGGAGCCTTAATTGGACCTATTTTTATCAGCAAATTTGCATCCCTTTTTTAATAAAATTAATCATATTTAGAAAAGGAAAGTTCTCATTAGTACAACCAAAAATTAATACAAGAGAAAACTCAATTAGAATGATCAAATAGTGCATGGAGTAAAGTAAATTCGGCCTTAACACAGTTAAAACTCAGGCCGTCAATTAAGTGGATTATTACGCCCAAAGTGATAACTTTATCCAAAAATACCACATTTTCCCGTGCATTTTTGGTGTAAATAATGTTTTTAATGCGTGGATGAAATCTAGAGATGTTTGGTGATGACTGAAAATAGGATACTTCGCTGCATTGGCACCAGGAGACGGCAACTAACTTGTTACGAACAAATTTTACCACAATGTCAAGGCTGTTTTGCGAGAGAGAGGAAGGTAAGGGGAGGGAAAAATAATGGGAAAAATGAACCATTTCCTTCTTTATCCCATCTCACCTCATCTCATTTCTATGATCATTCAACTACGTGTTGTTCTTAGTTATTTACTTGTGCTAGACGCTCAGGGGATTTCGGGTAAGTCATTTTGGGGCGCAAAATTAGTCTAATGCCTGTATTTTGAGAAGGCGCCAAGTTGTTGCCAATTGGCTTGCAGAAACACTTTCACCAGACTGGAAGAATGGGTAAATACGGGGCTTTTGAGTAAAAACTGAACCTTTGCTTTTCTCAAAAACAGAAAATAATAAATTCCAACGAATGCAAAACTCATTTATTTTTCCTTAGTCACCTGCTGAGTCCAAACGCTTGTTTTCCAACGTTTAATTAATATCTCGAAAGTAGCCTTGATAACAAATAAACAATCCGTCTAAGGACAACCAGGGTTAAATAAGCTCTCAAAATTGTTAATGTTTATGAATGGTTGTGCTCACTGTTGCTACAGGAAGATTGGCCTCTCATAGAGGCTTCACTGCGACTGTGACTGAAAACCGTCACGGCTAAGGCCATCTCTGATAGACTATGTATGTATGTTAATAAGAAACCTCGCTCATCACTGCATGTTATTCTACGTGCGCAATGCAACACTTACCCGCCAGCTTGACTTGCTATTTTGAATGACTCAGGACATGTGGGCCAGCTACCAGGGTTAAATTCGTGTAGCATTGCCAAGGTGGGCTTCTTTTTTGAGTCGTAAAATTAAAAGTCCCAATTAGACTTTGATATCTCTTGCAGAGAGGGAGACTATGTAAAAATTAAAAGGGAACAATTAAAGCTTCAGTGGAGATGTAGCAACCCATTTTCAAAGGACTTCAGAAGTTGGATTAATAACTTTCTTTTTAGTCCATTTACTTGTCTAATTTGCTTGGGTAACTTTATCCTACTAATTCATTTTAAATGGTTCAATGCTTTATGGACTTAACACTTCAGTTCTTAGTGTTTATACTGCTAATTCATCATGTGTAATTTGAGGTGAATGATCGATGTCTCTGTCACTTTCTTCCTCCCACGGTGGCTATTTTTAGTTAAGGTCTCCCTCATGGCACGTGGCTGGTTTATTTATGATCTAGTTTATTAAAACCATCGGTTCACTTAAACTGACGATGTTTGGACCGACCCTCTGTAGTGGGATTATTATAGTTCGTTTTATGGTGAATCTCATATCGAAAATATTTGGGAGGTGCATAACGGAAATATGAATGCCCAAAGATATTTTCCGTAACGGTATCTCCCCCTAAATACCCTATACAATCCCGTCAACCAACAACCACACTTCCTTGAAACTATATTTGAAAGCGTCAGCGTCATTTTTGAGGTCATTTGAGTTTATACTCCAGTCTGGCTTGCAACAAACTGAGTTTATCACTCTTCAAAGTTTGCCTTTTGTGTGTTTGAGGTACATCAGTTCCTATTTGTGCTGCACTATGGACGTAATAGCAACATTTTTCTGCAATCAGAGGCACTAATGAACATCTGTGGGAAAGAGTCAAGTTTGAGAAGGATTAGTAGTTATAAAGTGTGTATTCTTTTACGGAAAACATTACACCCATGCAATTTTTTAATTATCCAGTCTTTAAATTGTAATGTTATAGTCAAGTTAATAATGGCATACTTTACTTCGACCATTTTTAAAAGCTGCTTGCATATATTCAAGGAAAAAATTTTGGCGGTTAGTTTTTTTCGCCTGACTCATTATACATATTGAAACTAACTAAAAAGGGCTTCAGAAAACTGCTAAATGTTTTTGTTTTCGTCTGTTAAATCCATTAAGGTAATTCAAAATTTATAAATTACTGAATTTGCTGTTTCTATCCTAGTTCTCTTCCTAAGGTTTATTGAGCGGTTTCCGAAAATGCTTGCCTAAATGTCTGGTAAAATTTGTGTCCCTTTTTAGACAACACAATAAGCTGAGCTATTTTTAGACGAAAAAGAGGAAACATTCCCATACATAAAATAAAATATGAAAGACTAATATGAGCAAAAGAGGTTGATCATTTATGTTCCCTGTGATATAATTTAAACTCGTTTGCTTGAC